GTGATTTTTAACTACTTGACCCTGATTTGAAACCAATATAACCTTAGATAAGCATGTGGTTAACATAAGCAAGAATTTAGTCCAATGAAACTGTTTATCATCTTGATACCTACCGACGAAATTTGACCCTACCAGCGTCACCACGGCGTCCCCACCGATCGATCTAACGTGACGTTGTTATGTGGGTGTTTCATAGATTATTGAGAATGGTAATATCACCGAAAAATAGATAAAATGACAGTTGATTGACCAACAAAGATAATTGAAGACAATAGTTCGTCATTAGAAGTTATTTAGTATAACTTTATTCGGAAAATTAATCTCAAAATCGAGTTGCCGTCCCCGGCGTTGTCAGTGACGTCGTATGAGTTGTGTGCGATTTCTACCAATTAACCCTAAAGTAAAATATAGTTGAGGCATGTAGTAAATGGAAATCAACCCAGAAACCCGGTAGTTTGTTGATTGTTTATCGGTAGTATCCCTTCGCTGCCAAAAATAGTTTTTTGGCCGTTGCGTCCCGGTGACATCCCCTTTTCAAATGTCATTTTTTAAGTGCCATTCTCCAACTTTTTCTCATGCAGCCTCAAACATGAGGGGGCTCAGGTGGATATAGTTATTTTTCTAGTTTTTATGTATGAAATTACCATTTTCCGGCATCAAAATTCCCCAATTTTTAACATTTTCTCACCTCAGCCTCATCCATGATGGGGATATGCGGATATAATACGGTAAAAACACAGTGTCAATACGAACATTTACACATATAAGACTGAGCTGAGCGACTCCAAATTAAGGTGGAATTAGTAGTGGTTAAGTGACGTTTTTTCATGCACTGTATTATGCGCTATAAAAATGGAAGACCATAATGTAATGGAAATAAACCTCTCTGGTATTGCCGACAGTACAATCAGTGTAAAATATAGGTCAGTGTGGATTTAAACAATGTCCTAATGGCAATGTTCAAATTAAATGTAAATCCAATAAATATGACTGTTGGGGTGAGAGGGGTGTATCTTTGTAGTTAGGCAGTTATATACTGTCTTTATGTCTAAACAAACTTTAATTTTAACACCGGGGTCCCCATTTTAAAAGCTCCTAAGAGTTTCGTGGAGGTCCTTTTCGTCACTCTGTTTTTGAATATATATATTCTTTTTCATTGTGTCCAATGGTTGCCAAATTGGCTATAGTGGGACACAGTGATGAAGTACAACTGTCTTCTTTAATATTTTCGAAGTTAATCATCTCCTTCTTCATTGTGTTCAATGGCTGCTAAGAGCACATGTAAAAAATTATTAGATTATCACTCTTTAAAAAATAAAGTCGATGAGGGAGCCGGTTTTTTTTTTAAGTTAATCCTTTTCTTTTTCATTGTGTTCAATGTATTCAAAATATTAGATTATCACCCTTTAAAAAAAAAACGATGACGGATTGCGGATGTTTTTTTTCCGCACATTTCGTTATTGCGCTTTTGTTTTTATTGATGAGGGAGGGACTGTTTATATTTGGCTAGTAATAGCAAATATTGTATAAAAACTGGTTTAAATTTTATGGTTTTTTAAAGAAATGTATCTGAAGTCACAAATTTGCATTGTGTTATGCTGTTAAAATAATTGGATGCGGCAAAGATTTATTTCTATCCTGCATCAATATTTCCCGAATTTTTCACGCGGGAGGAGGTGGGTGGGGGTGGGGGTGTAATGATCTAACAATTTTTTTAGTGCCCTACATTGGCTATAGTGGGACAAAGTGATAAACTATAAATATCTTGTTTAATATTTTCTAAGATAATCCTATTCTTTTTCATTGTGTCCAATGGTTGCCAAATTGGCTTTAGTGGGAGACAGTGATAAAGTACAACTGTCTTCTTTAATATTTTCGAAGTTAATCATCTCCTCTCACGTTCTCTTCCTATGACCCCATTATGTGCGATACTCAGGGTAAAGCTCGGTTTCCATATAATCGCTCACCCTATTAGCGACAGTCGCCGACAGGTTGGTCGGGAAGGTTGAACCTGGTTCAACTTTTCCGATTGCGTTGCAGACGCAGACGAATCAGGGTGCATTGCTAGCTTGCCCCGCATAATCGGGAAGGCACCCCGATTCGTCTGTGAACCAAACTGTCACGACTGTCGGTGATAGGGTGAGCGATTCTTGGAAACCGAGCTAAAACTCTGGATCAACGCTTTGAGAGGTCCCTATTCTCAAAATATTCTATTCCCCCAGCCCCAACCATGGTGGGGGCAGTGAGGTGGACCCTCACGCACCTCCTACCGCCAAATCCTTTCCGATGTAATCATCGAAGGGTAGGCGTAGTAGGCCTACAATTTTAATTGGGTCTCAATTTCACATGATGCTAGATCATCGAGGCTATATCAATTTGGCGGCAACAACCAATTGAATGATTTTCTATATTAAATTCTCTTATAATACTGAACGAGTAAGTAGTTAGCAATGGATGACTTTAACCGCGTAGGGGGGGGGGGTTAGCTGGTTGGGTCAATTAAATTTGTCAAGTAATTTATTTTATTTAAAGATACGGCAATACAATTTTGTGTTAATTTTGGGGTTCTTTATTAAAAAAGGATGTTGGGAGTAGCTGAGAACGTAGGACGGTCACGCATGAGTGACCTCGTTCTTGATTCGCGTCGTCCACTGATCTCTACTATAATAGCAAATAGAAACTGATAGAAATGTGAACGCGCATGTGCGTGAACCGGCGCTTTCGATTTGGTAGTCTCTCATTCCACGGTCTCAGTCGCCTCATGCATAGTGTAAACCATTAGCCGCCACGCTACACTGAGTTCGGTCATGAATATTTATAATCAAATGAAACTTCTCGGCAACTGCCAATTTTTTATCTAAAGGCAAGTGCGGTGCCAGTGTAGTATAGCGGGGCCTTATTTTGTTCCTGAAAAATCCGCCGTGTAGATAATACCATCGATGAGAACGATTTGGATGTGAAAAAGAAAATGAGTAAAAAAGAGGAAGAGGAATTAGGCCTACCCTAGGCCTAGATAAAGTCAATGTAGGTCTAGGCCTAGTAGTACTAGTAAGAGTATATTCAGAGTTCGAGGTAGTGCATGTCATGCCACGAGAAAGAGATATTGTACATCTAGATTTGTTGCTGGACATCAAGACGCAGTTTGCCGAGAAGTTTCAGTATAAATATTCATGACAGCTAATGAGTTTACATTATGCATGAGGCGACTGAGACCGAGGAAGAAGAGACTACATTTCGATTCACGCGAATAAATTCGCCTAGTGGAAAACCAGCTTCATGCCAGTTTTCCACTGGAATTTATCTGCTGCGCGAATCAAAGCCACTTTTCGCTTCCTGAGCTCTGATTGGTTGCGCAATTTTTCGCTTCGCAAAATTCCGATATAAATATGAATGCGCATGCGCATGAGCCTATTGAATAACCGGCTTCAAGCCGGTTTTCCAATAGCTATGCGAATTTATTCGCTCGAATCAAAGCCTCGGTTCGCTTTATGAGCTCTGATTAGAGAATTTTTTCACATCGCAAAAACTCCGATAGAAATGTGAATGCGCATGAGCCGACGCTTTCGATTCGCGCGAATAAATTTGACTATATATTAGTTGTTGGAGGTGGTCTTTAACTGAAATTGAAATTTAACTGAAAATCTAAATTCATTTCAATTCATTTATTTTTTCTATAAATATATTGATATTCTATAGGCCTATTATTATTATTATTACTATTATTACAGTATTACTATTTTCAATTTTTTAAATCTAATATAGTATACAGTTTAGATTTGTTGAATTTGTTGTTTGTTATATTGTATTTTGAAGTTTCGAAGTACATGAAATGAAAAGCGAATTAAAGAACGTCATCTAAGTAAACAATTACAATGAGCAACCGGAAGAAAGTTGTCAATTAATTATAACTTTAAACAAACTGGAGATAAATGAATCACCGTTCTAGCTAATGGGGGAATGCCCAGACACCGGATTTTCAGATAGAAACCTCAAAGTAAACAAACTTTGTCACCTTGTAAACAAAACGTGCCACACACAAATGCTTATATAAAGCAATGCAATCGCGTGTACCATATCAAATATTATCTATCACCTGAAAGCCGGTACATTTGCATCGCAATTTCCTTCTATTGTTCTCTACAACTGTGACTGATCTCTGTTGCTTCATATTAACTCGCAGAAACATCATCTCAAACGGAATTTATTCGTGTTGTACTTAGTTATACATCCCGAAAACTTAATATAAACACTAAAGATGACCAGTCATGAAATTAACGATAGCCAGATTCATGTGGCGAAGCAAAACGAAGCCGGTATGTAATTTTGTATTCGTATTCTTACCATCATAATGAAAATGGACTATAATGTATAATTTATAATGTATTAGAGGTCAGATTTAATAGACTTACGAAATGCTAACTTTAACACCCTGATATATGTAATTCTAGAAACTGATAAAATGTTTTGTTACAACATAGGTTTTATTAAGAATATGTCTAAAGTTTAGTTATAGTTTTTGGGTTTACACGATATGTTCATTTCTATTTTAAAATATTCAAACGATGTGTATAAGAGACAGGCCTAGTAGTACTAGTAAGAGTATATTCAGAGTTCGAGG